ATTATACGATGCAAACAGAACTACAACACTACAGAACAATGTATTAGGACTTCCCACACATCATAGTAGTTGTCTAAAAAGGTGAGGTTGCCTTTAAGTTCTCTCATGTGTTTTGAGAGGGGGAAGGGGAAATCTAAAAATAAAAGTCTAACAAGAGCACTCTAAATAGATAGTGTCACAGGTACTTCCTCTTAAAGACCTAGATAAAAGAGAGCCATCTTTCTAGTAGAAAAGTATTTTTTAGTAAGAATACCACCTGTTTAAATACAGGCTTTCAAAAGACTCCAAAGCACTTTACCTACATCAAGATAACACAAAGACCACCTCTTTCATTGTATTCTGGTACTGTCTTCATTAGACTTTCTGCCTGGATGCATAAACAAAGGTAGAAAATAATTCAAGGCAAAATGTTGGTTGTCATATTTGAAGGTGAAAACGGGAAATCAGTGTGTATTGTTATGCCTTCCCACACACATATTTCTTTGAGATACACAACTGTACACCAAAGTGGTTTTTTTCTTTCAAAAATAAAATTATAGAAAAAAGCTTTTTTTCTGCCTGTTTTTTAGTTACATGAAAGATAAGATATCTGCTTATCTAGAAAGATGATGAGTATCAGACTTAGTAAAATAAGCATATCACAAATGAGCAACAGGGAAGTAAATGTATTTTTCCTTGACTTTGTAATCCTGTTCCCTGTCTTTCTGTATCCCACCTCCCTTCCATCAGCTTCTTTAAATATTCATTCAACTTCAACAAATACATCAATAGTCATACTAGTTAAGGTTATATGCGCCAAGTAAAGCTCTTACTGTCTACAATTAAAAGGCCCAAGCAGGGTTTTTCTGGCAGAAACAAGAAAAAATACAGCTGATGTTTTTGATAGTTTAAAACAAAATAAGAAAGAAAAAAGAGAAAAGCAGGGAAAACAATCAAATTCTGAAGTGTTTTTTTCAGAATTAGAAAGCACTAAAACCTACTCAAGTCCTTTTTAGGTCACCTCGAAAACCAGGAGATAAGCAGGTAAACCCCTGACTGACTTTCTAAAGTTGCACAGCATATCCTTCTACATTACAAGTAGAGACTGACAGTCTCTAATATGTAAATTCTCTGTAAATTCTCTGTTTCTATTTATTAAAAGACATATCTAAAGTTAATAATATAATTTTGCATAACTACAGAATTCACACCCTTCCTCCTTTCCTGGCTGCCAATGCTTATATCACACTAAGTTAGGAATACCCCCTCTCAAGCATTTTTTTGGCTAAATTTCCTTTATTTTCCAACTTATACTACTCTTTCAATGATAGGAAATAATTTTCAATTAGTCATTCAGAAGTCAGGATCATCTTGAACAAATTCCACCCTCAACCAAAGACAAAATGGAAGTGCAGAATAGCAAGAGCTGGCAGTAGATGGACAATAAGGAAATAGTGAGTGGTGCGTTCTGAAGTGTAATTACCTCTGAGAAGTATAAAACATGGGAAGAAAAAAAATCAGTGTTAACTGTTTTGATGGAGACAAACACATTGGTTATTGTGACTTTTAGTAAAGATTTTTATTTAATGTTACAATTACTGAGATATTGAATGTTACAATGTATTTATTATCAATTTATTAATTGTTGAGTTGCAATCCTTCTGTTAGATTACTGCAGAAGAGGCAACCAATACAGCATGTATCGCACAAATATAGCTATCCTAGGAGAGAGAGCTCAAGGCCGACAGAAGGGGATGCCTGCTCAGGCTGTGGCGCACAGCTCAGCTCCGTGCCGGCTGTCCAGCGTTCAGAGCATCTGCCTATCAGAAAAGCAAGGCCTGTTCCCATCTTTTGATCTCAAGCGTTCATACTGCACATCCACCATTATTCCAGGTTTTGTCTGAGGGCCTGCTGCTCCAGGAGGGCAGGTGGCAGTTCTGCAACCTGCTTGGTGTCTGCTCAAACTGGAGCAAGTTGAAAAAGCACCACCAGACAGGTGCAAGTATGGGAATCACTACAGACACAGCTTATTACTATAGCTTTATGAGTTAGAGAAGAAAGGGGGTGGGGGGAAAGTGCATTTCCACTTCATCTCTTGATTCAGATGGTTTTCTCTTAAGGAAACAAAGGAAAAAAGAGAGTAAGTTTTTTTAAGTTTTGCATATGAATAGTATCTAGAAATGCTAGGAAAGTCCCTAATACCTGGCAATTTTTGTGGGGGATTTTAAAACATCCCACTGTCAGAAGATTTTTTTTTGAAGTGCCTCTTCTACATAAATGCATTTTCTAGCTCCAAGAGAGGACTTTTATTTTTTCTTGATTCTGTTAATTAGCTTCTGTTTGACTCCTTTTTGTCACAGGGCAAACCAAAGGCAACCATCAACCCTCAGATTGGTCGAACTCTGTTGGGCAGTGGTAAGCCAGGACTAAACACTCCTCAAGCTTTCTAGCTTCAGATAGCCCGCAGATATCAATATGTGGCATGGTCCTCATGTACTAGCCATCTATGTGAAAGATGGGACCCTGTTTTAACAGCAAAACAAGAACAGCAACAAGCAGAAATTAACAGATGTTAACTGAGGAATTAATATGCACATCAGTGGATTTACACCAGTCAGATTTCTCACCACAGTTTTCATCCCAAGCCTTATTAAAAACAGGACTTATTTTTCCTCTTATCAAGGTGCAGATAGATGAGACAGGCTTAGCAATACAACTGGCTGCAGCTGGAATAAGGCAGGCCTGTTCTCCCCTCTCCTAGCCAACCTCTCCTGACTGCACATGTGCTAGTCCTTAAATAATAAACTCATCCTTTGCTGAGCAGTTTCAGTTCACTGAGGAGCAGAAAACACATTCAGCAAAAAAAGCATGAGTGGTTTTCATCCCAGTTAGCAATCTGGATTGGCTCACTATGGAGTTAGACAGGCACTGGACTGGCACAAGACAAGAGCTGGCACCACACAGCCAAAAGCACAACCATTTTTTGCAGCCATTAATTTGCTCCAGCTCTTGCTGTTGGACGCTACTTTTACCTTACTTCCACATGAAGTTCCACTTCACTCTTCTGCAGGAAGATCATAGCCGTTTCCCATGTTACTGTATTCCCTTCCCAAAATTACATGTTAACACTATGCAGAGACAGCTTGGCAATATGCTCAATAAAGGGAACTTCAGATATATTCCCACACCTGAATTTCAGTTGTGCTGAAGGAAGCATGCAGCAAGAACATAGTTACTACCCTTATAGCCAAGAATCTGGCAGGGAGAAGTGAGTAATAGCAGATCTTTGGCATTGTCATCTGACATGGAAATCAGCAGTGTATCCTTAATGTTAAATCCTCCCTCGCTGACCAGCAAGGAGCAGGCAGGGAGGGAGTGCTTAGTGTTTCATCTGAGATGTAGTGTATATCCTTGGGTAGTATTACTCACCACTTCTCTTTTCCAGAGAAACTCCTAAAATCACAGCACCACCCTGAACTGCTTTTAAAGAGATCAAAGGAGGCACAGCCCTGGGACTACTTTGGGTATGCACTAGTTGCATTGTGGGGCATGTACTTTATTTGTCCTGAGAAGACTTCAGAAGCTCTAGAAATGTTAGAAAGCTTAGTTTCCTTGCAAACAATACCATGGCAGTCAAAGCTTCTCTAGAAGAGAACATTCTGTACATCAGTTATTTAGTTTTAAGAGCCCTATGTCCTTCACCTTAGTCTCTATCTGGAACCACAGTGTAACCAACAGCATGGTATTTAATATTAAGCATCTCTAACCAAGTCTCCATGATTAAAATTACCATTTTAGTATAATATTTCTTTAGCTTGTAATTGAAGTCAAAACATACTATGAAAAAGTCTTTCAGATTACTTAGATTTCATGCAGAAGCACACAGGAAATGATTCAGTTTTGTCTGTCTAGGAAAAAGTGTTATGTCCACCGTCATAGTAGTAGTTGGCATATAGAAGCAGTGTGTTCACATTTCTATCAGATGTCTTCACACCCTTGTTTCTAATACAACAAATGGTATGAGATATCAGGAAAATACATCATCGATTTAAGTTTGTATAAAACTCATTGTGCCACAGTCAGAGAAAGCAAGAATAAACTAAGTTCTAGAGGCAGGAAAATATGATGAAAATAAAAACTAATCAGAAAGAGGGGAAAATAGATCAAGTCCAGAACTGGAAACCGTATAGGAAAAGAAATTAACTGGATTAATTCTAATGAATGGCTGAAAACTGTATGAGAACTGAATAAAGGGCATGTGAATGAATGATACATGAATACTAAATAAAGAGCATGAAGGATATTGAGAAATACTGAATGAATACATCACCATGAAAGAAGCTGTTTGAGAGTCCTCAATCATTCCAATTTGATAAATACAGCACAAACCAATATTAGTTCAAATTGTGCTCAGTCCTCAGTCACGCATCAGCAGTTCTGCACCTTATAAATGGTGGTATGAAAATATATTATTTGGTTCTTTGTCTTGGGACAAGAGTTGCTTCTTCCTTCATCTTAGGCACATTATTTGTTGAAGGAGAAAAATTGTTCATAGACATTAAAATTTAAGTCTTCTGCTTTATGCTGAGAAAACTTTTCTGCTTGCATCATTTCCGTATTAATATGCTTACAATTTTTTGTTGGCAGAAGTGCCGCATGCTAACATCAACATCCTATTGAAAATGTAAGACATGATAAAATTGTGCACAGAATAGGCTGACAGGAGAGCCCTTTCAAAACAGCTGTGTTAGCAGTGGAGCGATTTGATCTTCAAATGATGTACATCTCAGAGTTGTATCTTTATAATCTCTGTAGAACATGGTTAAGAATATTTTATGACAGCGGCACTTGCTGATCCTGCACTGCAAGGCTGAACCAGCACTAACAAAGGTTGAGAACAGTAGGAGAGTGTTTTCCATCCGCACCAAGCTGTAGCTCATAGGCACTGAAGCACACTGTAATTTACAGAGGGACACCCTGAATTCTGAATTTTTAAAAGCTGTATTTACTTGTGCTTGCAGGGCAAATATCATGGTAATCCCATGCATATAGCAGTGATCATCTCAAACTGTTTAAGAGAAGAAAGAAGAATATTGGCTGCAGCTAGCATGCCTGTACAGGTAATGAATTAGTTTCATTAATAAGGTCCATGTTAATCTGCTCACATGCTTTTAGGACCAAATGCTGTCCTCTCATTCCACTAGAGTGATTTGTGTGCACTAGGGCTTTCCAAATGGTGCCCTTTAAACTCATGTCTGTGCTTCATTAGTGGCTCTACTGCTGCAAATGTTGCTACAAGTGACTTTTGTGTCACAGCTAATCTTCAAAGACTTTAATCTGGGAAAGGCTTTAAAGAGATTATTCTTTGCAAAATAGATGTGTATATTCTAAATTATGCAGTGCGTTAATTCATATTAATTATGCAATGCAAAAGATATTCCATTTGACATGTTGCAAAGGCATTGATAGTTTCTATGTTGTTTGAAGAAAGAAAATTTAAAATTACATATAAAACCTATTTTTGGAAAATTGTTACATGGTTAAAACCCAGGTAGAATTTTTTAAGTCTAATTTGTTCTTTTTAATCACCTGTGGACATAATACATATTCTTATATGAGCACTGTGACATGGATCTTTTTCAGAAATCTAATAATGTTTCGGTTTCTTTAACTTACTAGATGTTTAATGTTTGCAGCATACCCACGCCCTTTCACCTTTTGGATTTCAAAGTTAAAGCAGCATGTTTTTCAAATCTGTGGAACTAAACATATTTGTCTGTTTATACCAGTCTCCAGCTGGTTGAAGACCAGGTTCTGAATTCCCTGCCTCTGCTAGAACTTGCAGTACTTCCACTTATGATTACTCATCCACCCATGATCTGGTCATTGTGTTCTAGGGGCCACTGGAAAAGTCTCTGCAAAACTCCGTGGTTTCAGAACGACAAAGAAACGTAGAGCACAAAGTGTCAGCCATCAAGAACAGTGCTCAGGTATTTTTTTTTGCCCTGTTTGCTGTTTACACAGCCACAATTTTCATACATGCATACCTGAAATATCTTTAAAGCTGGGTAGCACAAATACTTCTGCTAACAAGCTGTACTAACCATTTTTCTGAGGACCTCAGCCCATACTAACTTCTCAGGACCTGGATCCTCTGGGTTCAGTGTGAGAGCTACCTTTTTTAAAACTATCACACTCATCCCGTGCAAGTTGTAGGCAGACCACTGAATCAGTAAGAACATACCTACTGTCTTCTAAAAATATGTGAGGTTCAATAAATGTATTTCTGCAACTTCACCTCTTAGTTGGGGTCAGCAGTAGCTAGCCTTCATGGCCTCCAAGTCACGTCCCAAGATCTTTGTAAAGCTGAAGTCTACGTGACACATGTTTTGGAGACGAGAGGGGAGGAGAACACTGGGAGTTGATGGTAACAATTCTCCAGGAGTTTCCCATACCATCGCAGGGCAGAGCTGGGCTGAGCCAACCTGTAGCTATGTCCCATAGAGACCTTGAAAGCTCAGTCAGAGAATACCTGCCTGCTCAGTTCAAAGCAGGATAAAGTTTCAAATTACCTACGGCCTTTTCGCTATCCCAGCCCCACTTTCAGCTTTGCAGCAGTGTCAATGCAGAAGTTATATTTAAAATACCTGTCCATATGCCATACAGCAGCAACATTTCTGGTATACTGGAAAGAGGTCCTGGTAGCATTCTCTCATCAATGTCTGCCTACATGGGGAAGAGGGTTAGAGAGATTAAATCTTTAAAAGGATAAAGCCAGCCTTAGAAGAATGTTATACTAGATCTCTACCTATGTATAAAGAGTTGCAGAGCAAAAGCAGACAGAGCTGCCACCCAGCAGCCTACCATGCTGCTCCTTCTGCCTGTGTGGGGAAGCGCAGCCATCCCTGAAAGACCAGTGAAAACGAGACCAATTTCTAGATACGAGGGTTTTTTTAGTAGGTAATTAAGTTGAACACAGAAATCAACCAGCCCCTTGTGTATGTAATTTCATACCTTACACATGTAATCCAAAAGTTTAGTCTCCAAAATAAGGAAGAAGCCAAAAATGGCTAATTCTGTGTGTCCTAATTTAGCAAATGAGTTTTTGTATTTTCACAGACACTTAATGTGCACATTCTGGGGAACTAAAAAGGATTGTTTATGAGTTGTTGGCAGAATCAAGGCTTCCTATAAACAGCACAGAAACACCTTCAAAGTAAAACAGATGATTTCCTATGGTTTCATCTTCTTTCTTTGATGGGTCTTTTTTTGAATTACCATTATTTGGTTACTAGAAAACACCTTCTAAACTTTTTGCAGTACACATGAAAACAAACGTTTGCAAAAAGCCAAAGCAGCAAAAACGTTTCATTTTTTTACCCAGATTCTTAAGTAATTCTCTAAATAAAGTCTCTGAGCTTTTCTCCTGTCTGTGGCTCTACCCTTCTTGACTTTTCACCACTCATTCCAATTTCCATTGAAGTCAATGCAAAATTATCCACTTACCCACCCTTAAAGTTCCAAGAAGAGAGTTACATTATTGGCATAATAATTTCAATTTAGCTCAGGCTAAATGTAATCATTCTTACTTTCCACTAATTTCATTGAACTAGTAAACGAGAAGTGGTTAAGCTGTATCAGCTACTGTTGGACTGTGGGAGAGAGGATAATAGTTGTCTTTCTGAACAAGTAAAATAAACCTATAGCTATAAATGTGCATTTATAATTTGTCTTTTTTAAAGTTTACAATGTAGTAAACCGGAGTTCCCAGAACTGCTTAGAGATTTGCAAATGGTAGGAAATAAAAATATGACATTATGCATTTGTCCATTACAAAACAAATTTCTGTCACTGTGAATACCCAAATAATTTTACTTTCTTTTCTCTGGGAAAGATGACTGACCAAGATGTCAAATACTTGGAAGACTTGCAAGAGGAATTTGACTTCAGGTATAAAACAATACAAAGCTTAGGTAAGAGTTTTTATAATAATTTTTAGATTTTCATGATGAAATGGATGATTCCACAGCTAGACCCCAGTATCAGGGGGGTTTGTGTATTATACACATAATATATGTAAACATAAAATGTTTTTTTTATATAAAGTTACAGTCTTGGAACATAATGACTTGTTTGGGGTTAAGGGTAAAGAGGTTCTTGTTAAGCAAGTATAGTTATTTTCCATAGATAAGCTGCATAACGGCATGAAAAGTAATAATAATGTAAAGAACTATTTTACAATTTCCTCACCTTTGCCATGGCCCTTCCCTGTCAGGATGTGGAAGAGCCTCTTATTTCCCAGAGTAGAGTTGTGCACAACTGACTTTTTAGCCTCTAACTTGGCTTTCTGTTCTTTTTTGACCACAGTGGTGATAATCAGCTGGTAAGCACTCTCAATGCATGTTTGACCAGCCTGTGATGGTTGAGATCTGCACGTGGCAACAGTCCTTTCATGATTTCTTTCAGAAGAGAAACTGTGGTCCACTTGTGTCTGCTGAGATATCTTCATATTATCTCTGTTTGAACATACAAAGATACTGGGCTTGAAATGCCCGAGTACTTAAACATGTCAATCCTATATGCTTAAAACTGGATAGGGGCAGGCAATCAGAAGAGATCAAATTGCCATGGTTTAATGAGCTGTTAGTCATCAAGCCAATCATAATTATTGACCATGAAGATGATTGAAGCCCGCCCCAGTTGGAAAATAAAACATGTTTACATAAGTTACTTTCAAATGTCACTGTGTCAACAAATGCTCTACACCAGCAGAGCCAGTTTATGGTACCTTACAATGTGTGTGAGTAATTGCTGTGGCTGAGCTGACAATCAGTTACTTGTCTGCCTCTGTTGAAACATCTACTCTAACATAATAGGAGATGTCAATCTAGAGCTCAGCAGAGACACAGTTGGCACCAATTTCTTTTTTGAAGGTAGCATGAGAGATACAAGAAGAGCAAAAGGGGGGGGAAGGTGAGGGTGGGGGAAGAGCTGCATATGAAAGAGCATGGGGCAAGCTTGGGAAAGCCTGAAACTAATCCGTGATCCAAAGAAGGAAAAAGTTACGGTGAGGGGGAAATATCCAGTGATTAGTACTCCTGGCTGCTGAAATCCCCACGACAATGAACACTTTATCTCTGTTTCAACTGCCTAACCTCCATTCTCTCAGCCAGACGTGTAATTCCCATCAAGTCCAAAGAGCTTTACTCTAACTGCTGACACCACTGACATATTTCAGTAGTGTACAGATCACTGATCCAAGCCAGATGTACACAATACACGAGTATGCACATGAATAAGAAATTTATAGATTTCTAGGTATCATCCATATGTTTTCTACCTTTTCCTGTTCCACGTACACATCTAAAGAGTGGAGTCATAAAACCTTATCTTAAACTTGTACTAAAGTTAGTCCATTCAAATGAAATACACTATTACATAATCTACTGATGTCTGCAGTTTATTTTTTCACTAGTTCATGCTGCGGTCTGGTCGTGTTTTTTTCCCCCTTCTCCCCTTGTAAACATGCACATGCACCCGCATTTATACTGATCTTTTTCATCCCCTGCAGAGCAGAGTGATAAAAACAGCGCCCTCATTAAACAGGAAATGTTGGCCTTGCAGGCAATGCTCAATACTTTAGACTACAAGAGAAAGGTTAGTGACATGTTCTGTCATTTGTGGTTTGTCTGCTTTCTCCCCTTATTCCTACACCCGATATTCAAATGCATATGAGTGCCTTTTTAAATTCTCCTCTCAGAACAACAGACATATAGCATAGGAGTTAAAAATCCACAAAAAGTTTGGGTGAGTTTGGGTGATTTTGAGGAGCAGTTAAGAAACTGGCAGTTAAGCAATAACTCAATCAAGGATATGGGTCTGCACACCTTAGAAATGAGGTGAGGGCATCACTTCACTGACCTCTTGTGTACTGTGCTAGATGGGTAATTTAGCTGGCAGTCTGTAGCTTTTAAAGTAAATAAAAAGTATGCAAAGTACATGTAATCTAATGATTGCAAAGAAAATAAAATAAACAAAAAAACCCCACCAACAACCCACTAATGGTACCTTGTTCTGTTCAGCAACCAAGACTTGCAAATATGACAGATACTCCCCTGACCACTTCTTTGCTGGCACAGAAAACAGTACATTTAGGCAATTTGTTTGAGTCCATGTACTTCTTACAGTTAAAAGCAAGCAAGCAAAGAAACCAATGCGTAGATATGCAAAACAAAAGAACTTTTTGACCTTGGCAGCTCTTGCAAGTGTTAACTTCTTGGAGGTGTTATACCCACAAAGAATGCAACAATCCTCCCTCCCAAC